CATGATTCATGCGGTCTCCATAATGGCCGATTACTCACTTGCTCGATCGCTCAAACCAAACATATCAGCATTATTCCAAGTCTCTCGTGAGTTCAGTTGTGATGAATTAATGGAGAAGAACTTATGACATAACAAAGACAACATACAATCAACCTCAAGTAAATACATTAAAATGAGTCATTTGTTGTTTGCTGAATACCGAAATGAATCATTTGTTAAACTGATATTGCATAGCTGACTGTTTTCCAATTTGTAATAATAAAATCAAATAAAAGTAATTTAGAAGTAAGATGAATTTCATTATCATCTAATCACACATTGATCCTAGTTGGAATTACACTAGGTTCTTTGAGAAATTACAAGTCGATTGTTAGTCCAAGCACACACAGCAAACAGAAACAACACGTGCATGCTGTAACTTACTAACTTTACATGCTGTAAGGTTTAGGTTAAGAGATATGCAATGTAGTCTGTAAATAAGGTATATTTGAAGTTTGGTAGCAAAATTAAAATAGATATTGGACTCATGTTACAGAGCCATGAATTCATTATAGTCAAAAACTGATCGTTTATGGTTTTTAAATATTGCTGAAAGATGAACAACACTAATGCTCATCATTCATTCTGTGATTTTTATTGTAAGCGTTAATATAACCTACAGCACTATGTTAGCCTGAAGGCTTGAGGGGGAATTTCAGATTGGCAGTAACCTGTTTGAGCACATCTCATTTACCACAAATGAATACATTTGATGTTGGCATAAAGTGCCTTGAAAGCATTGCATTTCAGAATGTTTTGTGACTTGATGAAATGCAAGGTCTTTCTGTCTTTCAGAACTCAAAACATGCTTATTTTAGAAGCAACAAACCCTGACTAACATTGAGTGGACTTAATGAGTGGAAAACTACACTACAGTCTAATGAAGATTTTTCAATGAAGTCTCTTATGCTCACTAAGCCTGCATTTATTCGATCAAAAAGACAGTAAAAACAGTAATAGTGTGAAATATGATTACAATTTTAAAGTGTATTATAATTTAGAATTACTCCAGTCTTCACATGATCCTTCAGAAATCATTCTAATATG